ATTCTTTTAGTTCGTTGCTATTCTGAGTTTGCCTTGCTCTGTGTAGTGCCTTTATTGTTGCTTTTCTCATATTGTAACATTCTGCATCGAACCATATTTTGGCCTTCCTCTCTTTGGCTGTTGGGGCAGCCTTCTGCAGTATTTCAGTCATCTTCCGTGCGGCATCGTCGATTTCGTTTTGTTCTATTATTTGCATGATGTCCTCTTGCTTTCCCAATATGTATTTTTGGATTCTTCTTGTTTTTTTCAGGATGCTTGTTTCTGTTTTTGTTTGCTGTTCTTTGCCCCCATATTTGAATCTTGTGCTTATCGGTAGGTGTTTCCTTAGTGGTGAAGTTGATGATGTTTCTGTTTTTTGTTGTTCTATTTCTATCTCGTTTCCTTTCTTGAACACAAGGTCAATACATCTGCACCCATTCGGCGCTATGTATGTCATCATATCTGTTCTATTTGCTAGACAGAATCCTTCTTGTAGTAGTTTCGTAACCTCTTGGGTTTATCAATTGCAGGTTAATGCCCCCTTAATTAAAATACTATAAATATGAAAAACTGTTCATTAAAATCATTTTCTGGCAGTAGAAGTTTAGGTGGGTCTCACTCCAACAAATACATCTCAGTTAATACATAGTTAATTGTGATTTTTGCAGTATGAATTTAAGAAGCCTTGTTTAAGAGCCTTCTAATCTGTTCTGCATTTGTTTGTGATTTCAGGGAAGAAATTTAACCTATTGGGAATGGCCCACAGGTTAACTTAGTTGGTGATGCTGTGGTGAACACAAATATTGCAGGTGTGAATAACAAGTATTCCATCACTACAGCTGATATTCATTAACTACAGGATCTTAAAGAAAATACAGAACTTTAACCACTCTTCTAAAGATCGTGATGTTCATATCACAGGTCAGACTGTTATGAATGAATGTATTCAGAAATGATGCGTGTAGTTTTTGGAAAGTGTTCCATGAAATTGATAGTACAAAAATGAATGCCATTGTAGCAAGTCAGACTTCATGTTAAATCCACGAAGGTACTGATAATCGTAAGTGAAAATATAAACAAACTGGATTTTAAGTATTTCCTGGAAACCATAGTAAATAACATTCTCTGTACGCAGTTAAATCAATAAAAATTCTGAAACCAAACTGTTTGGACAAAATAATGCACTACATAAGGGCTTCTACTTTTGAAAATATAATAGTAAAAAGAGTCTGTATTTTAAAAGGGCCAATCAAATGAACAAGAAATAATCTTAGATACTATAGGGTTCTGACAATGGTGTATAACACACAGAGATACTGGGTTTTTGGAGTTTGTCCATTGTCCGGATTCTAAGTTCATAATTCAACATTTTTAGACACTCGTCAAAAGAGGTGTACCTATGAGGCAGTTCTGTTTATCCAAGCAAATATTTAATGCTCTTCAATGCCTTTCATTTCTCCTATAATTTAGTGTTATGAGACTAGTGAATGTAATGTCACTTGAATCAACATGTTGTATCTCATTAAATGTTGCAGCACCCCTTTCAGTTTACTTGCAGATCGTTACAGAATCTTTGTGTTACCAGTTCAGTTGCTTCAAAGATCACAGTGAATGAGATTGTATAGATTTAAAATTGTGGCCTTTTGGAATATGAAGCAATGAATTTTTGAAGGTGGTTACTAGTGTTTTGTAGACATTTCTGTCATAAACATGGAGGCAACAGGTTCTTCCAAAATACTCATAACCACCTACAAGACCACACAGCATCATAATCCAGAGAACCACAATCAAAATTTTCACCTGTATGGGAACCTCAAATTTCATTCAACTCCCATATTATACATACAAAATAGTTACTATTTTCAATGCTCAGGATACATAAGGCCTCATCATCAGAAACTTTTAAAATACAGTTATGATCTCATATTTCACACTTAACAGAACTGATATCATGCAGTGCATTTTAGATGGATTTAAGAACACAAATATAAGAAATTAAACAGTATCTCTGTCAGTAACCAAATCTCAGTGGGGAGACAAAACAAAACTAACAAAACAAACTCTGTGGCCTGTAGTCAGCAAGTGAATGATACTGAGTGAGTGACCGCCGCTTGTCGGCGAAGTTAGTGTCAACTTTTGTGGATAGAGGATGTCATGTGGTGAGCTCAACAGTTCCCCATGGCCGCAGTGGGGAGACAATAACTATAACACAGCAGAAATATGATTATGATTATGCATAAATTAGTTACAGATTCCTTCTTCAGATGTTATGTCTTGTAAGGGTATGAGCGTAGAGCATGTTCATTGGGCATATCTACCGTTATTGTAACATGAACACATACTTACTCATGGAGCTGAGCCCTTCTTGAGGAGCCGCCAATTGTGCAGCTACTCAAGAATTTCCCAGTATTTTATGGAACCCGAAGGTTCATTACCATGTTCACAAGAGCTCTCCACTGGTCCCTATCCTGAGCCAGATCAGTCCAATCCATATCATCTTATCCTCTCTCTCTAAGATCCATTTTAATAATGTCCACTCACATATGCCTTGGTCTTCACAGCAGTCTCTTTCCTTCTGGCTTCCCCACCAATATCCTATATGCATCCCTTGTCTCCCCTCTTCATGCTAAATGACCTGCCCACCTCATCCTCCTTGACTTGATCATTCTAATTATACTTGGAGAACGGTACAAGTTATGAAGCTCCTCATTATGCAGTTTTCTCCAACCTCCTGTCACTTCGTCTCTCTTCGGTCCAAATATTCTCCTCAACACCCTGTTCTCAAACACCCTCAGTCTATGTTCCTCCCTTAATGTCAGAGACTAAGTTTCACAACACCCATACAGAACAGCAGGCAAGAATATACTTTTGTATAGACTATTTTTTATATGTTTGGACAGCAGATGGAAAGACAAAAGGTTCTGGACTGAATGGTAGCACGCATTACCTGAGTCCAATCTCCTCTTAATTTCCTCCTGAATCGGGTTTTGATTTGTTATCGTCGTTCCCAAATATCTGAACTGTGCCACATTTTCAAAACATCTGTTTCCTAACTTTATGTCATGATTTTGTCCTGCATTTTGGTGATGAGACAGCAACATGTACTTAGTTTTCTCTGTGTTACTTTTAGACCAACCCCCTTACTAGCGTCAATTAAAGTTTGTTTGTTTTTCTTTATGGTATCTATATTATCACTCAGGAGATTCACATCATCTGCATAGACCAACAGCAAATGTGTCCCACCTGGTTTTCCTGGACCTTCCTAGTGGCATATTCTAACTTCTACTTGAAGTTTGAGGCGATACTTTCCTCCAAAACTTCGGTTGACACAATATCTACATGGCACCACATCCTAGGAGACTGCTTTCTTAAAAAAATTGTTATTCCACTATATTTACGATGGAGATTAGGAATTGAGTGAGAATTACAGATACACAATGTATCATTAATTTTGTACCAGTTACAATTTTCTGCTGTTACGATCAAAGAACATATTATTTTAATGAATAACAGTCATCAGGAGCGATGGGTTCACCCTGTCACATGATCAAAATTTTTATTTCTGTAAACAGTAGGGGCTATGTAAGCTTAATTTTCTTTTTCAGTATTTTTGGCTAAATTAATTTCAGATATGACTCGACTAGCTGAGATCCGTTCAAGTGTTATCCATGCATTGTAACATGATGCCTAAACTGAAGAAAAGTACATTGGCATCGATAACTTTTTGGGCCAACAAAACACTTACCACAGATAAAAATACTGAACAGCCTCCATGGAATGACAAATGTTGATGCCATTATCAATATATTAAGAAATATACCTGACTGTGGCAGATCCCTAATATAAGTGGAAATAAGTAACTGCAGAATAATTATGATTAATATATTCTGATTATTCCAGAAAAGGATTTGTACATTGAAGCATATATATGTAGTATGTAAAGATTTAATAAATGTACGAGTATCCAAAGTGAATTCTAAATGATTCTGATGATGGTGTATAGCACAAAATTACTGAGTTTTTTTACTTAGCCCATCTAGTTTTTAGGATAGCAGATGATGGGCAAAGTCCAAAACCCCGGTAATTCTNACGTCGGTTAACACCACATATACACGGTGCCAAATCCCAGAAGACTGCTTTCTTCATAGTCACCGCCGTGAAAGCCTCAAATCTTACAAATTAGAATTTACTCAAATTCCATCCTTCTCACAGAGTGTTCTTGTAACATGTAGCATATCTGTCTTCTGTCCTATTTAGTCTGCATGTACTTCATCAGCTTACTGTTATGCATGCAGTCTTGTAATTGTATATACTAACTCAGTTACTGTTATGCATACTATCATAGAGCATAATCACTTCTTCCCCATGCTCTTGTAACCCATTCTTTAAGATGCAGGTAACCGTAATTTTTCCTGCCAGCCACCATAAAAGTATTTTTACAGAATGCAGGAATGCCACTAGTCAACCTGAAATTGTAATTCTATACGATCCTCAGCTACTGTCTGTGTGCTCTTTGCCTGAGAATTATAGTAGCCAAAATACATTCACTATGAAATACAATTAATATAAGTTTCCTTTTTATTGTTATGTAGCTAAAATATATACCCTCAACTCTCAATTATCTGTGGGCGGATAAACTGGTTTGCGGCTTAACCGGGGCTTTTTTGAGGCTTATATGTTGTTTAATATTCATTCACTTTTGTTTCACATGGTGAGTTGTAACACTATTTCTGCACTAGTGTGAACCGAGCTCTGCATTTTTGGTCCTGTTATGCTTGCACAATGTTCTAGGGTAGGGGTAAAAGAAAGCAAGGATCTGTGGAAAGTTTCAAGGACAGATACACCGCCCCAGTTAGTCTCTGTGTATCAATCTTGAAGTGCGTTAGCAAAATAACAGTGTGTAAAAGGAAGTGTATTGTCTTAAGTATTCAAGAGAAACTTGTGTGAGCCGGGCTTCGAAATGTTAAGCAGTGACGAAATCGTAAGTTCAGTGGGGGTGCAGCAAGAAGAGCGGGAAGAAAGTGAGAATGAGGAAGAGGTGGACAGTGCTGCTAGTAAGAAAATATCACATGGTGCTGCTCTTAATCATTTGGAATCCTTACTAGACTATCTTGAGAGTGAAGAGAACAGTTTATTAAGTGACAAGCTAATATTGCATAGGCTTCATATGGATATCCGTAAAAAGGAAAATGCCATGAAAAAGCAAACGACAATATTAAATTTCTTTTAAGTGTTAAGTGTGAATATTCATAAAAAGTGTTGGATGTTGTTGAACACTGTGATTGATTGATTGATTTATTTATTTATTTAACATCCATAACTGTTACATTATGTACAATTGGACAAGTCAGTTTTTAAAAAATATATGAGATTGAAATAACTAATCCATACTTCAGTGTAATATAAAAAGTATTAAATAGGCCATGAGATGACATAAAAATGAGGTTGAATAAATTTAAATAAGGGTAGGCCTATAGTATTATGAAGGTACAGTATTACGGTACTACTTTTAATGAAATTTGTCTTAACCGGGTTTTCGAGTAATCGTGATTTCCATCCCCACCATTATCCCGGATAATTGAGAGTTGAGTGTACTATGTTCATAAATAACCAACTGCCTGAGAGAATGTCCCATGAAGAGGATCAGGAATGAACAGTCTGTTCATGCCAAGGATGTTATAATGTGAACAGACTGAATTCATTCATATCATCCAAGTAGTAATATAGAAACTCCTGTGCCTTCAAATCCTTCAGGCAATATTACTAGCAGGAAGTTTGCTATTGGCTCATCTCTCTGTGCACAGTCACCATACACTGGAAAGTGTTGTCCTCATTATTACCAATATGAGGCATGGAATTAATTATTTTAACCTGCATCTGGTCTGAGTTATGACTTGCATGGTTACACTGGTGAGATGCTTCACTGTTGCACACATCCATAGGCCTACACAGAGCAGTCAGTTTTGAAGGAACACCAACATGATCTACAACCTGAAGCATCAAGGCAGACAACTTTCAGAATTCTTCACTGCTATGTTATCTTCTACCATTAACATCTGTATAATGGCAAAGAACATAAATGTCTAATGGAAAATGTACAGTCAAAAGGCACGTATTTTGTAAACTGGTTTGGACTAGAACTTATATAAGTGAAATTAGGAAGTTATTAGCAAATAAAAATTAAATTGTCAAATCGTGGACATTCTTGTTCTTAGGTTTTCACAGCCAGTATCTAAAATGTAACTTGGGCTGTCAGAGTTTACTGGCAGAGTACGAGAAGCTGGTCTGAATAAGCTGTACAGCTTCAACAGATTATGCAGCTACAGCCTAAATTCCAAACTTACACTTAAAATTATACAAACTAAAATCTCTTCATCTTTCCTCAAGAAGACCTATGCAAACATTATTTCTGACCAGAGGACAGAATCAATTTCATTCTCATATAAATCATTGAATAAAATTATAAAGAATAGGTAGAATGTAAAATGATGAAGAAAGAACCATGCGTGCAGGAAAACTATAACAAAGATAGGGAAGGAAAAGAATAAAAAGGTTTGGCACATAATGTGTCTGTCTACAAAGAATATACAGAGCATTCAGTTATGGACGTAACTTCGCAACACTGCTGACACAACTCAACATTCCTCACAGATTGCTACTGTAACTGCTGATAGCAGAATTAGCAGGTGCCGATAAACACACGCTGTTACAGTTACAGTTACAGCAGCAATCTGTGACGAATATTGGGCCCGGTCAACAGTGTTGCGAAGTTTCCTCCTTGATTGAACACTCTGTATAACTGAAACCCTGTAAGATATCAGACAAGAGGATGACCAAGGAAACAGTGCAAACTGCCATGACTAATAGATGGCTGGAACCAAATGATGTACAATACTGACAGAAATGGCACTTGGGGATTGCAAGGTGGCTAGCAGCTTTGAAAGCTGGCTACCACTACTAAACTAGTGACTATATGAATTGTTTAACAAAGTACATTGTACTTATTTTACAGTCATTGCATAATTGTAATGGAAGGTTGGAATCTGAATTGACACGCATAAGGAAGAGTAAAGCACAAATTCATGTTGCTGCATCAAAATGACTTTTTGGAGGAGCACAAGAAAGAACAACTGAAAATTGTCTATTTAAGCATCTTAAAAAAAGATGTTTAGTGCAAGACTGTGCAAGAATGTCCATCATCTCAGGCCTACAGAGACATCCATCTCAAATGTTGTTATGTTCAAAAGCCCTATGAATTTTGCTACTGAACTTACATATATTAAAAACTTATATATATATGACAAGAAGGAAATGTACAGAAATATGTGATCTAAAAAAAGAATTTACCATCCTCTTTTTCTGTGAATTTGTAAAGAATAATATAAGTACAGAAAAATAAATGTGATTAGGTATCAAACAAAAAGTTGCCCCATACAAATTAGTTTTAATACAATGAACAGTTTAGAACACAAATCAGTTATTCTAGTAGATACTAAAAATAAATGGTGAATGATATATTTTTGATGCAGTATCAAGACTGAAACATCTGTAGTTCTTGCTTTGATTTAAAATATGTTTTAATAGATTTTCTTACAGCATGTTAACCTTCATTGCCAAGCTTTCAAAGCAAGGTTAAAACTTTGAAGCTATGTACCTGATTCTCTGTGGTGGGCTGTGCACAATTTAGCCAGGTGTTGTTTACTCGTCTGGTGGAGCGTGAGCCATACTTGAGTAAATGAGCAGTTGGGGAATTGGCAGGCACTACCTGTACATACCACATTCAATTAACATGTAATCTATGTGAACTGATGTAAATGCTGGAGTGTTTCTGAAATGAATCTGAAAAGAAACAATACTTAAACTGCCATTTACATGTCAGTGGACTCTGTTATTGCACTAAATTTACCCCCTGAATTCTACTACTAAGTCTACACCTGCCACATGGTTCTAGCCCACCGGTCTGTCTGATGCCTCGATCTGTACCAGGCAGCCTCATCCTCTTGAATATTTGGATATGAGTTCCTGGCAAAGAAACGATTTTTTCACAGGGCACAAACAATTAAGAATTATATCTGGGAGGTCGAGGGTTCGAGTCTTGATGAGGTGGATTTTTCAGTTTACCTAGTATTTCAAGCCACACTATGGCCCCGGGGTCAACTCAGCCTCTAATAGAAATGAGTACCAGGAATCTTCCTGAGGGTAAGGGGCAGCTGGCACATAAGGCTGACATCCTTACCGCCATCTGTGAGCTGATTGTCTAGAGAAAATGTGGGAGCCTCAATGTCTAATAACCCTATGGGCCTTCACGGTCTGTAACAGGTATGGCTTTACGATTATATCATGGAATATCACATGAATTGACTATATATATATATATATTGTGACATGATGAAATAGTGGAACCAGGGAGATGGCCGCTGCTCTGGAGCAGCTTGGTAAATATACTGTCTCTGTGACAATGGTTTGGTTCATTTGGTAAGAATTATAAAGCCAGCATTCATATTTTTCAAGCATAGACAACATTCTTTCAAGAAGTACACTAAAACTGACTACACTTGTGATTCTCTCAGTTCTTCCTGGCAAGACGGTTTACTGTCTCTTCATCTTACCTTCTTTGAACAGGCAGGAAATTTCAAACATTCGAGGAACACATAACATGAAAGTATTCACAATTTGTGTGAAAAAAGTAAAAACTGGAAACAAGTATGTTTGGAATTTGGCCAGTGGTCATACTAAAGAGACAAAAATATAGTTGGGGTTGTTCCTGAAAGGATTAAAAGTAAAGCCATCCCTGTATGAGGCCATGGAAGCCCATAGGGTTGAGAGACAGCAAGGCTCCCACGCTTTCTAGAAAATCGGCTCACAGATGGTGGTGAGATTCCTGAATCTGAGGAAACCTCCATTAAGGAACTTCTCTGCTCATGAAGTATAATTTCATGGTTATTTCAAGCAAACATGTGAAAGATACTAAACATCTAAGGAACTGTTATACATAGAATTTGCTTCTTCATCGCATATTCTGTCTTCATCATTCCCAATTTTGTCACCTCAAAAGCAGTATCTCTTTGTGGGAATTACAGTTTTTGTTCACTAAATGGACATAAAATACTAAAATGAGAAAAACTAAATTAAAAAAAAGTATACATTACTTATATGGGTTTTGGCTGGGACCAAAAAATAAAGAGTACTGGGGCATTATTAGGATTATACTCCATATATTTGTTAAAATAGTGGTCAGACTTCATGTATTTATGTGGTACAATTGAAAACTATGAGAACTTATGTTAAATTGTGATTTCTAACAGGATTTTGTCAACATATGGTGTCTTATGTACATGAACTTTTCAATTCCATGACAAAGAATATTCTTATTTTGTGAATTGATATCAGCTGTTACTAATCTGTGTCTGAAACATCTCTGTTGCTGCATGACCATGAGATAGTCATGTAGACCAAGGAACTATCATTAGTTGGTTACTAAATTCTATTTTCAACATGTAAGGGGAACCAAAATACCCACACGAGATCTCACTGAACGTACAGGATTTTTCTCCCATAATGTTATCTAATCTTGAAATAATTTACCCTCAAAAATATTTTTAAACAGTCAATATGGCCCAGGAGTGCTGTAAGTATAGATTCTGACTTACTTGCATGACAGTGTGAACAAGACGAGGTGTTTCAGGTGCTTCAACCCTGTTCCCAATAATTACTTCTGCCATTTCTTGTTCTTTTTTATTGTTCCTTTCTCTATCTGCATTTTGCTTTATCAACTGCCTGCAAAAAGGAATTTTTGTACTTAAGTGTAATTGAAGAAAGCAGTCTTCTGGGATGTGGCACCATTTAGATGTGGTGTTAACCGACGTTTTGGAGGAATGTATTGCCTCCATCTTCAGTGTAGAAGGAAAAATAAGAAATCTGCAACCGAAGAGATGGTCTCTTCGTTTGTGGATTTCTTATTTTTCCTTCTACTGAACTTCAACTCAACTATCTTGATTCCTGCATCATCTGCCAACTGCCAACTCTGGAAATCTCAATCCAGTTCTCTGCTGCAAACTGCCAATTATCTTGCTGCCATCACAAGAGACACCCTCAATTATCGTCTCACATGCCTGAGATCCTTGTTATATAGCCTCAGGGTGGCCCTCACAGAAATCACCATTTCCTCAAAATTCCTCTCTTATTATAGAGGTGTGTTTACTTCGCTGTTGCATAGAAACGACTTCCATGGGCTCCTGTTTACCAAGCAGCTGCCTAGCAATAGCCCATGTATTGTCGATGTGTTTGCCCGCTGTTGCCAAGCAAAGCTGGCTTCCCACCGTGGCAGCTCAGGTTCGATCCCGGGTCTGGTCAACTGGGATTTGTGGTGGACAAAGTGGCACTGGGGCTGGTTTTCTCCGAGTACTTCGGTTTCCCCTGCCAATCTTCATTCCACCAATTGCTCCACAATCACCCTCACCTATCATCTGGGGCTGGTACAATAGGCCACAAGTGGCCGCAGTACAAGGGACTTAGTCCCACCCCACTAGCAATAAAAAAAGAAAAACATGCTACAATATGATAGTAGACTGACATACACATATGACAACCTTGATGTTTATGGCACCTACTTCAACATCATTTTCTCTAAAACCATGAACATTCTACAAGTGAGATTTTTGTAAAGTGATGCAGGTTATTCCTAGAAGTGTGACAAATAACACAGCCTGTCAAATGAAAGTGGGTAATGAAAGCTGCCTGTTGGTAAAAATATCGAAGCCCCTGGCAAGGCCTTTTAGATGCAACCTGCAACAGTGACTCAGATGTAAACACACTGCACTCATGACTATGACCAGAGGAATGGGAAATCGCTGAACATATTGTAAGGTAGCCATGGGAAATTAAAGTAGAACTTAGTGCTTACTTTGCCTTCTTCTTGAGTATCTCTTGAGCGTCTGGATAATATGCAATGGCTTCATTCAGATCTGCTTTACGCAACACAAACAAATTTGAAAATCCTCGAGACCTGAAAATGTAAACATTAATGACAGTCTGAGATCCCACTACTTTGAATAGAGACCTGTGCCAAGATGAGGAATGAAGCAGGGTGTAACGTATTTAAAAGAAATATTAAAAAGTACAGTGTATAGTGGAAGAGTTCTATCTTCTGGGATGTAACATCATGTATTTCAATGAAAGTCAACTGATTTTCTGGGCACCATATTGCCTCCATCTTCAGGGTGAAAGAGGTACCACTGTAAGAACTTCAAATCCAATATAGCATATGGTAATTTTTACATCTACAAGGCTGATAAATACAACATTGAAAGATAACAGAGCTTACTTGCATAAATATAAACCTGTAATTCCAATAATATATATTTCATAATCAAGAGCATCATGACAAAGTCATCACTTGCATCCTCTATGTGAATTGTCAGAATTTTATGATAACGCTGCATGAAGACTTATTTCATCAACCATTTTATAAAATCCACAGTCTCTACACCCCATTATCTCATCAAGTAATTTATACTCAAAATATTTCACAGAACAATGACATTAATCCCTGCACATGTCTAAAATATTCCTCTGACTAAATAGGAAAAGCACAGATTTACTCGTATTTATAATTAAATCATCAACATTTAAGCAGTGCTGCTGTTTCCTGATACTGCCCTGAGTGTTGTAAAAATCTTGGAAAATGTATAGACTTCTCTGCACAGCAGTTCTCACTTTGTTGACCTGTATAGCATCAATATGGCAGAGAAACAGCCAATAGTGTTTCAAAAACACCTTAGCTTATATCATCAACCATTTCATAAAATCCGCATTTTCTAAACACTGTTATTTCATCAAGATCATTTTGTTAATAACATGTTGCTACTATAGTGAAAATAATGGCTCTATGCCTAAATGTTTTTTTCTGAACATCAAAGAATATAAGAGATTTTATTCAAACTGAATAATTATCTTCTAAGGGACTATTTTGCTTTCTGAAATTCTACTGAGGGTTCCAAAAAATCTCAGAATGTTTATAGTTTTCTCAAAGTAGCCATTCTCGTTTTGTTATCCCATAAACCATCAATGTGAGCCAGAAATATCTAAGATGCTTGAAGAACACCTTTGCTTATCTCATCAACCATTTTATACGTTCCACACTCCTTAAACACACTTATTTCTTTCAGTAATTTTTATTCAGAATTTTTCATACAAAAATTAAATACCCACACCATGTGTCTAAATTTGATCTTCCAGGAAAGTAATTGCAATTGAATAATCTATTTATACGGGATGATTTTACTTCCTGATACTCCCCTGAAGGTTGCAGACATTTTGGAATCTTTTTAATTTCCTCCAAACTGCAGTTTTTAATGCATCAAAATGAAACATAAATATCTAAGAAGCTTCAAGAATGTCTCTGCTCAATTTGCCAACCACATAAACAATCCTCACTCACTAAGTGCAAGGCCTATTTGAAGTTATTGTTCTGGCATTTGCATGGGGGATCTGATGAAAACCACAAATACCTTCAGTCAGGATATTCGGTATCACAATCAAGATTCAAACCAGGTGCCCCTGAAATATAAGTTAGAAGCAATATCTCTTGGAGATACCTAATCCCTTGTCTGTTACACTCCTGCTAAAAAGAGCTGAGTTTAGAGTAGTCTCATCACTGGGGTTCTGTTTCTTGTTTATACACTGGATTCCCTGTTCATATGAAAGATACATAATAAACAGTGACTACTGAATCACGAGTGAAACAAATCTTCCATTTTAAGTAGGCATTATAGAGCATTAGTGACATAAATCCACTATGAAATAATGTGGATCAGAACATTTTTATTTTTTATGAACTGCTCACAATCAGACCAGCAAATACAGTTAACAAACTGAATGTAATTGCCTGCTTGTGCAAGGTATGTCAAAAATAGTTCCTCCCATGTGTGTGTGTGTGTTCACGCATGTGTGACAAACATGTGAATGAAAAACACTGAATGGTAAATGAAGATAAGAACATGAAGTTATTGTAAAGAAACTCATAGAGAAATTTATGAATATAAAAAAATAATGGGATGAAAATATTGATTGCAATAGATTGTGCAAACTTCTGATTCTGATTGCTGATGACAAAACAAAGTCAGTGGCAGTATACAGCATTTTTTATGGTTCTCTCTGTATAGAGGCATTTAAAAGTAGTTCTCTTTTGTATTGAGTTATTCAGGAAACATGCTAGAAAGTGTGGGTAGGAAGATCTTGTTTTTACAAGTACCTAAAGAAGCTAGCAAACACTGGTATAACAAATTAGCATCATTGTCATATCTACTGTAACTACTGTAAAATGAAATGTTACATGCTGAAATATAATTTCTTTTCATGTTATGTGCCCTGACTGGCTCTTCTCTCTGATCTGATCATCCTAAAAATATTTGGTGAAAAGTGCAGGTTATGAAGTTCTTAATTATGTCATTTTCTGTAGCCTTGTGTTGCTTCCTCTCTTAAGTGAAAAACAAAGTTTCACCCCAAAAGGTGTAGGTTTGTACTTTCTGTTCCTTACACTTTCATATATGAGAGAGGAAAACAATAAAATATTATCAAGTATTTGCCAGATTTAATTTGCTCTTAGTCTCTTTCTGAACATAATTTTGATTTTTCACAGATATTCCAAATATCTGTATATTACCATATTTTCAAACATCTATTAGATACCCTTGTATTATGATTCTGTCCTGCATGAAGGACATTATTAATGAACAAATTTTTCAACATAAAATTACTTTAACAGCTCAATTCTTACCATCCAGCCCATAATGCAAATTGCTATGTTAAATGTGAAAGTAATGTTATGCTTCTATGTACTGAGTTAATGGAGTATCTTTACTTCACCTAACAGTAGCAGTTCTTCGGTTACACCCAGCTATAGCCAAAAGGCTTATCTCTCCAAACACAGAGCCCTCTGTGAGTGTTGCAAGAACTTCTGACTCATTCTCTCCTCCCATCACTTGCACTTGCCCTGTTTTCACAATGTACATCTGCTTTCCCACTTCACCCTGGAAGTAGAGCAGAACAATGCATCCTAAAGCAGGGAATTTTCTTACTGGTATTCATGTAAATTAATTGTGCAAAACAGAAGGCATAGCACATGGTGGCACAGCACAAAATTACACTTTAGGTATAGCACCAATTCTGGTATGGTGTCTATAAATTCCTGCCTAGTTGCAAAACTTCATGTCCATAAATTTTCCTTACTCAGCAGCCACAAAAACATGTTAGATATCAGCACGAATATGCCAAAAGTATCATGACGTTAACAAAGAATTATCATGACCTTGAAGAAGCTGAGTGCTTTAATAACCTTGAACAGACTTGCACTAATCCCATGGCACTTACAATTTTCTTCCTATTACATCCTTAGTATCACATGTGCCATCAAAGATGACAGAGAAAATAATTAATTTATTCCCTTTCATATTTTTACATCCCTTCTTTCTCATAGCTTTCCCTTCCTTTTATTTGTCCATTCTGTCATCATTCTTCTTCCTCTTTTCTACTCTCCTGCATGTTAAAATAGTTCCCTCACTCCCTGCTCCTCAGTTCCTCCAACCTTTTCCCCTTCCCTCCTCTCTCCCATATTTCTTCACCATTCCTTTTACCTGTCCATCCTGTGATCATTATTTCCCCATATCGCAGCAACACCACATTGGGTTTTATTAATGCATGAAAACATTGATCAGTATCTATGTGTATATGCTTGAATTCTTCTTTTGCTTTAAAACACATGACAGGATTACTCCCCTGAGTTATTTTAATTCTTATTCTATTCCTATAGTTCGTATTTAATACACCTGCTAACCTTGCGGCAGATGAAGTCCCCAGGCAGGAATATTACAGGGCGCAACTTCAGTACAAGCTCTCGCAGAAGAGCCTCATCGCAATCGTGAAACAGCTGCACTTTACTCAGCGTCTGTATGTGCACGTTAATGGCAATGTCTGTCTTCATTTTATGTGGTAGCGTGTCCATGATTCGGCTCTCGTCTGCAATATATATAGTTCTTTAGGGTAGGGCTCTAAGTTCCTCTAATGATGCTGGTGAGGTGAGGTGACATGATCTTTCTAGAACATTTTCTCGATTACTTCAGTGACTAATTAAAAGTAATGCCTTTTCGATGTTAATCATAATTACAACATTCATAGCACAAAATTCTTAATGTGTTCTGAATAAATAGGCTCCACTGCAGAAGTGGTTGCTACCACTGGTTAATTTTTTTATGTAAGATTTATCAAGTTTGTCATATTATTTGAATATAATTAACAAGTCATATGTCGTAATTGTATGACATCTAAAGTTTTCATTATGGTGAAAATTAAGATTGTTGTCTTCTGGGTTAAAGCATGGTGCAGTTTGGTAGGTGGCTACTAACATTTCAGTGGAACCTTCTGTCTCCATTTTCTGCCTTGAAGATTAAGACAGCAGGATTGCTCTGAACCACTGGTAACCTTCTAGTAAAGTACACAGTGTCACAATCCATAAGATCACAATCTTAACTTAACATAAATGAATACATAATATGCCACCTGATAGAACGCAGGAAAATTCGTTTAATCAGACTGAAAAACCTCACTAACTAATTTGAGACTGCAGTTTTCAGGTCAGATTCTTATGCATAACCACCCCCAAGGCAGATTACTGTTACTTCTGGGAAAATTAAATATTTTGAACTACAAGAAATACCAATTATTCACCTGTGACATGGTTCCTTCCCTTGCCAGTATCATATTATATATCACCAGTAGTTAATACTTTGGAGATTCAAGGAATAACACTCAAATTAAGAAACTAATGATTATTCATGTAATTAAAAATAACAAAAACTGTTAATGAGGATTCAATTCACATCCAAAAATTTTACTGCAATACTTTTATATGCAATAACAGCTTTAACTCTGGCAAGCTTACAGATTATATTTCATTAGAGTGGTGTCAAATCTGTAGTGGAAAACAAGGAACAGAAAAATTACATTTTATGTGTACTAGACCAGACAATGAATTACACGTAAAAGGCATTATGTTTATTGCTACATTGCTGAAGAAGTTATTGTTAATTGAATATTTTATTAGAGAGACACATTTAAGTAAAGAAATACAAATTTGTCTCTCATTACAATGCTTACTCTGAATAATAGTACCCACCGAGTGTGTGTTGTTGTTCCCATGTGAATGTGAACCACAATTTGACCCGTTCCTGCAGGTGGTTAGGTACATTAAGGCACCTCATGTACTCTAGTGCCTCATCTACCAATTTCTTGTACTCTGTTTGAGACCGCGTGGCTGTGACAACTATATCCCGCATCTATCACATTTAATATAAAAAAATATTTATTTAGCAGTGTACCACAATTATGTATTTTTATTGCTATGTGTGTTGGTTACTGTCTCCGCATTAATTTCAGAATGAGTATTCACAAAGACACCGAATGTATTAGTGATTTAATGAAAGTTTTAGTACAATAATCATATCAGAAAGTTACTATTAACATAAGATAAAACAATATCCTGGGCTTCATAGAAATTATTCACTATTAATTTAACATAATCTTCACTCCAATTTCTCTCAACCCAGGTTTCAAACTATGAATTTCAGAGTCAATTTTCATACTCATTAATACAGTAATATTATATTTCAGCATCCTGTTTCATTTACATATCACTATGCACTCACTCCCATCTGTAATGCAACTCTGTTCACAATCTCTCTTTAATTTAAAATAACATTAAGATCATGTTCAACTGTTACATGTTTCAGCCTTAGTTGGCCATCCTCATGCAACTATTCACTCTTCGAAACCTCTGCGTTGCACTAGTTCCTAAGTCAAAACATATCAATGCCATTCATTGCATATTTCGCTATTCTCACTAAATTACATTTGTTTGAGAACAAAACTCTTTATCATTTCCCATGCTATTTTCCTCTTGCGGCATCTCTGTTTTTGTATTGTTTTATTTTGCGTTTTGAACTTCAGCTTGTTGTTGTTGTTATTATTGTTATTTTTCCATAATAAGGGGGCTCATAAAAATAAACAATAATAACAATACTATACTATACAATACAATATATACAATACTATACCAGTATTTGTAGGATTAAATAAAACAACATAAAAGCACAGATGCTGCAGGAGGAAAATAGCAAGGGAAAGTATATAGTGTTGTGTTCTCAAACAAATGTATTTTAAGAAGAAAGCAGTCTTCTGGGATGTGGCACCGTNCATCCCAGAAGGCTGCTTTCTTCATAGTCACCGCCATGAAAACCTCAAATCTTACAAATTTATTTTAGTGTGAATGATGAAATATGCAATAGCACCAAAATATTTTGTCTTAAGAACTAGTGCAATGTGTAGGTTACAAAGAGTGTAGAGTTGCCTGAAGAAGGCCAAGTAAGGCTGAAACATTCAGTAGCTGATTATGATTTTAATGTTATTTTAAATTAAAGAGAAATTGCGAACAGTTACATTATAGACAGAAGTGAATGTGTAGAGTGATTCATTAATAATGCATACATTATGGAAAGAATATACAATTGGATAGAGCATACACTGCATTATGTGTCACTGTATCCTAACATCTTTTTCATACGACTAAACAAAACACTCAAATATACAGCATGTAAATGTCATTTCGTTACTTGCTTACTTAAAGACTGTAAAACACACATGACTTATTTGTGTTACTATATTTAAATTCTGAATAATGTATTTGTTTGTCTATTTACAAACAATTAATTTTCAGGTGTGACCAAGTCTGCAGGAATATACTTGCCCTCTCACTATGGAAGAATTAATGGAATACAGTAGTGAGTTAAGCTCTAGTCTCATTCCAAACGTTTCATAAATTTAATAAGCAATTGGTTTAGTGTCATGTGTAGGTTGCAGGATGCTAACAAAGAATGTATTAGTTTTGTTCCTTGATCTTAACATTGTCATCTGACACTGAATTTTTTAACAAATATTGATAACTGGCTAGTAAATTTAAATCATACCTCTGGAGCCATAAAAAATTCCATGACCTGTATTCCGCAAGGGAATATCGACCGAGCAACCGCCACTTGTCGGTGAAGTTAGCGCCAACTTTTGCAGATCAGTGTCGCGTGATCAGTGCAACAGATCCCCATGGCCATTAATCTCAGTTTTCTACACTGGAGCCGCTATTTCCTTGAAATAGCTCCTCAGATATCCTCACTAGGCTGAGTGGACCCCGTTCCAGACCCCCATAGGTGCATCTAAATTAACACTCAAATACTTTTTCTTAAATATTTTTGTCATAACTATTTCTTAAGGCATATTCTGGAACATGTATTAGTCTCCATTCTGTAACATCCAGACCAGCTCTGTGGCCAACCCAGCCTCCTATGCAATGGGTACTGTGGCTTGTTTCCTCATGGGTAATGCGGCATGGGGGTAACGGTGACTGCTCACCTCAATCTAGCGCTGAGATTAAGAATGGTGGAGATATACCTCCACTCTCACATATATCTTCATGGTATGGTGCTTAATTAATTAAGTCAAGAGAAAACTTTGACCTTATACTGGAACATGGATACTTTTATTGAACACACCTGACCAATTAAGATTGCAAAAACAAAAACTCCCATCAACCAGCTGCAAGTCATGAAAAGACTTTCTTCTTCTGTCTCTGGTTTTGGGTTTTTTCCTATTGATGTGGCAGTCTTTGTTGCAAAATAGAAACATCTAATATACCTGAAATGATAATACAATCTGAGATCTGATGCCCACATGGGGGTGAATATTAAGACTGTAGTCTTCTGGAATGTGACACCATGTAGTCTGGTGGAGGAACTGGCTGCATCCATTTTCAGGATCTAGAAAGTGAGAGTTGGTCCCTTTGCAATTTTGGTAACCATTTACCAAATTACACTATGTCACCTTCCAGAAGATTGCGGTCTTCATAATATAGTCTTTCATTGCAACTACCTGAAATGTAGATACAGATTCTTCATTCATTACACCAATTTGGTAACTAAGTTACTTGTCAGGAGATGACAGAAAGCAATAGGAGGTGCAAAAAATGCATAATGAGTAGTTGTATAATTTGTAATCTTCATCTGATATTACTAGAATGGTCAGATTGAGAGTTAAATGGGCAAGGCTTTTAGCAAATTTGGGGTGACAAGAACTTTGCAGAACATTTCAGTTACAAAATCTAAGTGGACAGTACTCAGTGGTAGGATGATTAGTGATTAATGAATTTAAATGTACGAGTATGTTGAGGGAAGTAATCCTGGCCTGATTTCAGATCCCATCTTAGTATTTTCCAGAATGAATTCATAAAATATCTGTCAGGAAGCCAGTCTACGCACTGAGAGATAAACACAGAACCTTCTGAATATGAAGCAGGAGTGTTAAACTCTCAAACACAACATAAATTTCATTGTGTGATACATTTTATGCACGGACATGCTTAGCCCAGGTAATAATCTACTTGTTCTTATCTAGGGTTCCCAGAATTTTGTTTTCAAAGAACAGGACATTTCCATTTTTTCCTCTAAAAACATGGAACATTTGGTGAAAAACGGGACACGATGTTATTCTCTTTTCACGTGAATGACGATGACCGACAGACCACTATGTGCAATGCAAAATTTCATGTTGCATAACATGCATTCAACATTCTCATTCACGCCTTTAATAAGCAGATATTCTCTCTTAATAATGTCATTAATACTGCACTTTTATTCTGCAATCACTATAGGGGTGAAAAAAAATATCAGAATAATACAAACTTAAATGAAAAAAGAGACATATTGCCAAGACAGAAACTAATAATTTGTGAAATTGCATTTTGTGGATTAGCCAACAGGAGTGTTAACATCATTATAGATATGCCAATTGCAGCAAATAGCGTCCATTACCGAACAGTTATTGATAGAAATTAATGCTATAGAAGAACACTTAAAAAGTGGGACACTTGAAATACATCTAGGACAGTGGGATATTATATGAAAAAAAATGGGACTGTCCCTGGAAAAACAGGATGAATGGGAACCCTAGTCTTATCACGTGTACAACCAATTTATTTTATATCCTTGCATGAAAATCTTTGTGACAGTACTCAACAATGGGGAGCTCATTGTTATGCCCTGCTCCTGTTTGTAACATTTACTTCACATAGAAAATGGTTTTGAAACAAAATTGTTTTATTAGTGATACTACCTCATTGTTTGATTCTTTTTGTGATTATATTTATGTAAAAAATTTCATTTCTAAGTGGTGTATTTTAACACATAAATTCTTGTTATCTGATTTGATCAGGGATTGTTGGTTTTTTATTTTCATTTTGCTTAAATCTTCTAGTTTCTTGCTATGACGTTTATAGTGTGTTCACCGCCCAATTGTACATTATATTTTAGAATTATTAAATGAATTAACTAATTTACATGCCCAGGTCCTGAATCAAACTTATTGTGACCTTATTAGATGATGTTATATTTTATAGATTTTATTAGGTGATGTCCCTCGTGTAATTTCATCTGGACTTTTATGACTTTCAGATAAATTTGCCATGTGTTGTGGCACAAATATGTCAAGCATACTACACACATACACACACTTGCACACATGCACAAATTCAAAACACATAAACACACAAACTATGGAATTAAAGTAAACAAGACACAGAAGTAAGAACAATCAACCAGTAAAACATTAAATTTCATTAATAATACTTTTCTTAACTTACGGACTGCCTTTCCCGCTGAAGACCCAGCTGTTAGTGCCAAGACCTTTCCAGGTTGAGAAGGCATAATATGCACAGGCATTGAGATGTATGAGGTACAGCATGTATGTCAATGTGCGGGCCATTCTCACCACATATGGGGAAGAGACCATGTTGTCTACTCTGTCAAAGAACTCCCAGAAGGTCTGAATCTGAAATAAGAAGGTCATCATAAAATGAGACGAGTTTGAGTATAATTAGTTAAAATTTAATATCTCTGACTTTCAATAAGAAACTGGGTACCTGCTAGATCTTACTTTCTCTTTGCACAGAATCTAGTTAAAGAGCCTCTGTACTATGTGCACTGATATACTGGTCATCATCTTCATGCATTTGAAAATTTTGCCCCTTGCAGTTAAAATGCAGCTCTTAAAATTCCATTTCAACATATAATCAACTAACTCCACTCAGCAGAATCTGTCATGCAATGCCAAATTGCTCAGTTAGGCCATAAATCCTTACCTTTTATGGAAAGAAATGTTCATTACCAAATTTACAAGAGCCTGCCACTGGTCCCAGTCCTGACTCAGATTAATCCATTCCACGCCTTCTCATGACAATCCTTTAAGATCTACTTAAATAGTATCCTCCCATCTCTCTCCAATAGACTCTTCCCCTTGGGTTTTTTGATTAAAACTTCATATGAATTTCTCATCTCTCCCATGCATGCTACATACTTTACTCACCTTCTTTCTTTTTATCGCCCTAATATTATTTATCAAAACAGTATAAATTCTCTATATTGTTCAATTTTCTCAGAAACCTGTTATTTTCTCCTTAGATCCAAATATTCTTCTCAGCATCCTGTTCTCAGACATACTCAATCTATGTTCTTCCCACCTAGAATAATTTTAAAATGTAAATAAATATAACTGAAGCCTCTGAACTGGTTTCCCTATAACATTAATGAATGAGCTTTGTCTTTGAACTTCCTTTCAGCTGCCATGCTCTCACCCATCTGTACAATGATCATATCTGTTACAGAACCAGGAGCGCAAAATATGTTATTCTAATAAAGCAAAAGTAAAGCTATCCCTGTACCAGGCCGTGAAGGCTCATAGGCTTTTGAGACGTTGAGGGTCCCACATTATCCAGACAATTGGCTCAAAGATGGCGGTAGAGTTGTCAGCCCTACGCACCGGCCACGCTTTACTCCCCAGGAAAATTATGTAATTAATTCCTGGTACTCATTTCTATTAGAGGCTGAGTAAACCCCAGGGCCTAGTGCGGCTGGAAGGATTAGGTCAACTGAAAAAATCCAATGACCTCATCAGGACTTGAACCCACGACCTTCCAGCTTGTAGCATAGCTCCTCAACCACTATGCTACCGCGTGCCCTGATGTTATTCTAATAACTTTGGAAATGTTTTCTTGGTTGTACATGCCCCATCTAATCATGCTTGTGACCAAGACTAAATAAGTTAGTGAGAACACAGTGTCACATGGTCATGTTGGGCTCTTTTCGCAAGAACAAGGAATGACCTCATGGAATAGGCTTCCATACATGGATGAAAGATGTGAATACATTTTTGTTTTTAAATTCGCTTAGTGGGGGCTGGAGTCCAACTGGGTCCACTTGGCATGGCGGCCACTGATTGGCCTATTGTAGCCAGCCCCTGGTGATTATGATGATCGAGAATTTGGTGGAATGAAGATTGGTAGGGGAAACCGAAGTACTTGGAGAAAACCCGCCCCAGCGCCACTTTGTCCACCACAAATCCCACTTGACCAGACCCAGGATTGAATCCCGGCCGCCACGGTGGGAAGCCAGTGACTAACCACTTGAACTATGGTGTGGCCAAAAGACATGGCTATGTTGAAGAAGCAGCTACAGGCAGCCATCAAAGGGCGGTCCTTCGGCATGGGAGTTAGACACGTGACTGTCAATCACTCTGTGTAAAAAATGTAGTCAGTTATGAATGATTCTAAAAAATACACTTTTGTAAACGGGATCATAAAATTTTGGTTCCATAGTATCAAGGAATTTATTGATGAGCTGGGTAGATATGAATGTTTCATATGGAGTTATTCAGCAGTATAGTTATAACTTTTGGATTTGACCCACTTTCTGAGAATGCTGAAAATTCTAGTTTCAGTGTCAAAATAGCTTGAATATGTTATGCAATACTGTTGAATTTTAAGTAGTTACTATAAGATTCTGATGATGATGTATAACACACTGATATGTTGGGTTTTTGGACTTTATCCATCGTCCTGGTTTTTAAGATAACAAATAAAAACACGACGTTTCGGAAACTGGATCTGTTTCCGTCCTCAGGTGAAGGAAAACACCTATTCAGTTGGGTCCCTTAGAAAGAGCTAGGCTCAATCACTGGTCCCAACTGAATAGGTGTTTTCCTTCACCTGAGGACGGAAACAGATCCAGTTTCCGAAACGTCGTGATTTTATTTGTTATCTTAAAAACCAGGACGATGGATAAAGTCCAAAAACCCAACATATCAGTGTGTTGAATTTTAGTATTATCATAGTAATATGATGTGAAAGTTTCACTGTTCCTTTTGCTGGTGAGTGGATATCTTGGATGTCTTGCTATTTAGGCAACTTTGCTGACATATCTGTTGAGTAGGTTAGTATAAACTTATATTTATTTGCTGTTGTTTAAAATGCAATATGGATGCACCTCACACCCATCTTCAAAGAAAAATCAAGCTGATTCCATGAACGAAATGCCAAGCGATAAGCATGTCTATAAAAATCTTGTGACAGCATGGCCCTTTCTGCTGATTTTATGGTATCTTCACAAACTACAAAATGAAATATGTTCAGAATATATAAAAAAACATTCTGAAGAATTCTGTCTTTTTGGATATAATGCTGTATAGTTGACATGACTTTCACCACACAGATCCAGTTTCTGAAACTTTTTTTTCCCTTAGTTATTTAGAATCCGGACGATGGACAAAGTCCAAAAACCCAGTATCTCTGCGTTATACACAATCGTCAGAACCCTATAGTATCTAGGTAACAAATGTTTTGAAAATGTGGGACAGTTTAGATATTTGGGAACAACGATAACAAATTAAAACCTGATTGAGGAGGAAACTAAGAGGAGTGTTGAACTCGGGTAATGCTTGCTATCATTCAGTCCAGAGCCTTTTGTCTTCTCGTCTGCTGTCTAAAAACATAAAAATTAAAATATACAAAACTATAATTTTGCATGTGTTTTTGTATGGGTGCGAAACTTTGTCTCTGATATTAAGAGGGATCATAGACTGAGGGATTTTGAGAAGAGGTTCTGAGGAGAATATTTGGACTGAAGAGAGATGAAGTGACAGGAGGTTGGAGAAAACTGCATAATGAGGAGCCTCATAACTTGTACTCTTCTCCAGGTATAATTAGAATGATCAAGTCAAGGAGGATGAGGTGGGCAGGGCATGTAGCACGAATGGGGAAGACGAGGAATGCGTATAGGATATTGGTGGGAAAGCCAGAAGGAAAGAGACTATAGGGAAGACCAAGGTGTAAGTGGGTGGACAATATTAAAATGGATCTTAAGAGATATAGGATGGGATGGTATTGATTGGATTGATCTGGCTCAGGATGGGGACTAGTGGAGGGCTCTTGTGAACACGGTAATGAACCTTCGGGTTCCATAAAATGTTGGGAAGTTCTTGAGTATCAGCATAAGTGGCGGCTTCTCAAGAAGAGCTCAGCTCCTTGAGTGAGTGACTGATACACCAAAGTGCATAAAGTATGGTCCAGTTTCCATTGGGACACAGATCTGAAGACCTCTTGAAATAGTACATGTAATAACATCCAGTACAACCTCAATTTTATAATTTATACTATTGTTCTATCTTACCATTGAAATACTAATAGAAAATGACACCTGCTCCACATTCTTAGATTTTATTTGTTACTACTAGCACTAGATATTTTAAATAATGGAACTGCACATGTGTGGTTCCAAGCTGATCACTAGCATGCATGCCATCTAGCAGTTCACTTCTGAGATGTAGCAACTATTGCCTTCTAAAAGGGTCCAGACAGTACTCTGGCAGTACCACAGATCTGAAGTACTATTGAAGTTGGATGACTGTCTACATTATAGTCATATCAGTTCACAAAGAGTGTTCCATTTGTACATATTCTCTTATTTACTCTCTTAGTAGGAATACTGATGGACACAAGGACACAGACAAAAGATGACACACAAAATCTAGTACAAGTGTTAATCTGTACTTTGTATGGGTCACTCAACATACTCATAGTTTTGTGACCTCAATCAGTATTTCTTAGCTAAGCAAAAATGATGCTCTTTTTTATTCAGTGGACATGCATGCACGCACGCACACACACACACACACCTCTTACCTTTAAGAGTCTTGGGATCCTCAGCATGAGATATTCTGTGCCAAAGATGAAATATAGGAGGTCTAGAGGCATCAATGACAAAACATCCATCTGTGTATGAAAAAAAGAAAGAGATTATAGACATGTAAATATTTTCCTTTCTGTAATTTAAGTTAACCTTGTGAGTGGCACATGACTAAATTCACTGTTCCATTTATTTTAGTTGTGTGAAGAATACTTAATGAATACAAATGCTTAAAAACATTTGAATCGGTCTAAGTTCGTTGTGAAGTGTTTGGGGAAAATATTTTAATACAAATAATTTAGTGTAAGAGGCCTGTGTTCATCTAGCCCTTTAATTGGTGCTGTTGGCAGAAAAGATCTCTTGACTAGTTTATTATCATCACTTTCACGTTTCATAATTGGTATGTTTGGTTTATATTAAAAAACTAAGTTCATTTATAATTCAGATTGGCTGAGTAGTTGTTTTTGCCAGACAGGAATTGTGAAGCAAATCATATTCACTGAGCTTCTCAATATTCACCAGCTTTACAGAAAACGGACAGCTTATAGACCCATAATTTACACATCAGTAATACAGAGTAATTTTAAAATTACACTGCTGAATAAAATCTTTACCTTAAACTGCCACTTTTGTATGTAATTTCTTCTTGTAAGACTGAGGTCTGCAACCCAGAATCCCTCCTCAAGGTATTTAAGCCTGGGTTTTATGAATGCCACATCCAAGAAATAGATGGCATCAGCAGAGTAATCAAGTGCGAGCCAGATTGGCGTGTTTTCAGCAGTTTGATAAGGAAAGGTGTTGCGTAGCGGAATTACCCAGCAGTTGTACATGTAGCACAGCATCACAACAAACAGCCATGAGATGTATTCATACCCTGTAAACATTAAAGAGATGTTCATGCAACAAAACATTACAAATAACCACTACTACTTTAATCTGAACTCTGGTATACAATTATAGTTGTGGCTGCTGAATTAATATATTTGTATACAGAGGGTGGACAAAATAATGGAAACATTAGAAACTGAGGAAAAGAATTTGTGTGTTGGTTACATTGAGAAAACTTCAGTTGGCAACATTGAATGTTCTTCTGTTTGTTTACACTCTGTAGTGCTTGTGTAAGTGCATTAGTTATTGTGTTAAGTGACAGTCCATGCAAAAGAATAAAAAAAATTGGGAGACTTCTCTGATTTTGAAAAAGAAAAGATTTTTAGTGGGTGTTTAGCTGGAGCATCTGTGACAAAAAAAAATAGCCACGTAATAGTAGGTGTATCGAGAGCGACAGTTTCTGAGGTTATGCAGGCTTACATGAATCATGGGAACACAAAATCAGCGAATAGGAACAGTGCGCGAAAATTAACATTGCCAGAAAGAGATCTTTGTACACTGAGAAGGGTTGTTAAAAAAATTAAAGAATTACTGCAGCCCAGGTGACAGCAGAACTGAATGTTCATCTTGAAGACCGTGTTTCCACAAAACCTGCCCGACGTGAGCTTCACATCCTCTGAAGGGCTGCAATTGCTAAACCTCTGATTGCTGGAAGTAATGCTCAGATTAGTAAATAATTGTGTCACAATCATAACACCTGGACATCAGACAGTTGGAAAAGCACACGTGACATGAGCAGTTGAGCCATCCTTCATGCTATTCCCTACATCAGGAAGAGTTTACGTTTCGAGAACACCAAAGGAAGTCTGTAATTCGGAAACCTTGTTCCAATAGTGAAACACGGAGGAGTTTCAGTAGTGGTTTGGGCAGCAATATCATGGTACATTAATCTGTTGTTCCCATTATTACCCTTCATGGCCAAATTACTGCAAGGGAGTACATGGATAAGTTGGGTAATCAGGTGCACCCCATGTTTTCTGAGCAACAATGCTGTTTTCCAAGATGACAATGGCCCCATTCACACAGCTGGAACTGTTGGGTCATGGTTTGAAGAGCATGAAGGTAAAGTTCAGTGTCTTCCCTGGCCAGCACAGTCACGAGATGTAAACAGCATTGAACCATTCTGGTGACTTATGGAGACTAGAGTGGGGCTCAGATGTTCTTCAAGACGAATGGATAAATTTCTGCCAGAGACTGTTCAAAACTTTCTAGGAGTCCATTCCATGAAGGACTGTGGCTGTAATGAAGTAAAAGGTGGTCCAACACCATATTGATAAAGAAATGTGTACAGTATCTATAGTGTTTCCATTATTTTGTCCAACTGCTGTAGTTAAATCAAGTACTTATATTACCTGTCTATGACTGAAGAGTATGTTACATTGTTTTACTGCAAATTGCACTCCCACTTACACCTATATTATGTTTATTGAAGACAAACTATTTTATTTTCAGAGTTCCATTCTTACTGTAAACTGCAGCAGGGAATATTGGAGATTTTGTTTAACCCATGAATGTACGCAACATCTATCAAAAACCCGAGTAGACGGCGATCTTAAAACCCAGAGATGGAAGAGCGATGGACGAATGAAAAATTGCTTCTTATAAGTACAAACATTCTGTTTACTTGCCAATGGGGAATAAAATTAAACCATTTTAGTAACATAAAATGCAGCTAAAACTAATGGAAAACCCTACTAGTATAGCAAGTGTCACGTAACTTAAAACAAGGCCAAGAGTAACCTTGAATGCGCCGAAGAAAATTTTAAGATAAGGGAAGGGGGTGGAGGGTGTGAGAAATGACAGGTTGCCAGTGGAAGAAAGAGTTTTAAGAAACTCCTCCCACCACAACCTATGCGCAGGATTTGACTAGGAATGCGGGGCCTTGTTCAAAGTTATGTGACACTGTCTATACTTAGCAATTCATGCAGGGTTATGAAAGTAAAAAGGTGCTGTTTGAAGACTTAGGTTACTTTAAAATGTATAAGTTATAAGAAAATCAATCCTGGATCTGGAAGCCCTTCCCTTCAACTTTCTTCTGTGAATGTCGATGATAGATTTGTGATCTTGTTGCCCATACAGAGGATGCCCCAACAAATAATATACACATATACAGTAAGCACTGATTATTTCTAAATTAATTTAATAAGGTCTCTCAGCTGCACTGGTAGATTAGATTTGTCAGTAGTGCAAGACTTACTCTGTGGATCCAAGGTACGGTTGCAGTGGATAGACTTGATGCGCCCCCAGAAGGAGTGACAGCCTGCTACAGGAGCACATGTGGAGGAATCAGCAGATTCGCAATTTGTTAACTGCAATCTTCTGAACAGAGGAGGGGGCCGCAGATCATTACCATCTTCTATAAGATTTCAAGAAGACACATGTCATTGTAAAATAATTCTAACTCTACAGACTCCAACAGATTTTTCCTGCTGATAATACATTAATGATTTGTGGCCTATAGCTTATTTATGTCAGAAGTGACAATTTCTAAATGGTTAATGTCTGGCCACTCGTAACAATTTATCTTTTATGTTCAAAATCTTTAAGCAGTAAAGACTACATTATAGGAAAGAAAATGGTTTAGGTTTCATGTATCAGTTTTCTAGATGTTTTTGCAGCGTGTTGTGACATGATGCCTGAAAGTTGGAGTAGTTCGTGACTACATAATGGTGCAGTAAACACACCTCTGAAGCAGTGAAGCAACATGCAACAATAGAGGAAGTGGTGTTTTCTGTGGGGGTTGCCCCAAAATTATATAATGAGGATCTCAGGCAGCTGAGAGATAAAATTGAAGGAGGCTCTGAAGGTGGCAGTAGAAGATATGGAGAAGACAGTAATGTGTGGCAGTGAACTGTAGAGTGTGGAAATAACGATAGCGCTATAATTATTTGTAGTTATGAGTTGGGTGTATAAGTGCAATAAATCCAATCAGCCAATCCAAAAACCATCTCTAAGTCACGTGCACCCCCTAACACGTGACAATATAACACAAGGCATCTTACGCAATGATACTTATAGTTCTTCAAAACAATTCACTCCGATTAATATGTTTCATAGTATCTGAAACCTGAAATAAATATTTTGCTAGTAATATTTAAACTCTTTCACTTCAGAAAGGTGGTATTTTTGATGAAGATCCTGACATTGTTGAGAAGTGTGAATAGTTCATTAATGGCTATTTAATGATGTTGTTCCAATGGCAAATGTTATTTGGCGTCAAACAAGATGCGCATTTTATTTGTGGTTTATTTAATGATCCTGTCTGTAACTCAGGCTATATATCATCTAATGGTAGGATCCCTATGAATTCTGAAATGGAAAGGATGTGTAAGAAAGTGACTGTGACCTGATGGAGGTACTGTCCTGGCATGTGCCTAGAGGGACTGAGGAAAACTATGAAAACATCGGTCTGGAGGCTGATATTTGAAATGAGCATCTCCTGAATACAAGTAAGAAGTATGTAGTACTCCTTCATCCAAAATTCTTGGTGAATGGAATGTAAGACAGAATAAACAAATTAACAGATGAATGTTAAGGAAGATGTCATGGCCTGTTTATGAACATCACAAGGCACTTTCTTACAGAGATCAAAGAAATGCACAGAAAGTTTCAGTCATTAAACATAGTGCTCTATCAAATTTCAAACTGCATACTTTTGAACAAACATTAGACATATCAACACTGTACCAAATGCAGTGGAGCATTCTGCTTAGTGAACACTCTGTTCTGTAATAAAACTTACTGCAAACTGAACTCTGGGCTGGACAACACTGCTTATAGTTTTCACATATGGTAACCGCAGACATCTGTTAATTATGCTGAAATTTCTGTTGTTATGTCTCCTAATTGATAGCAATGAATAAAGTGACCAAATGAGATCCCTTAAGTCCCTGACGAATTGCACGCTGCTTTAAAGGCTAATCAAGTTCCTTCACTGGTGTGTCGAAGTAACATTTCATAGAGCTTGTTTAAAAAATTACTTCGATTTGAAACTGGAAGTCCTTCACATTTCCTTCATATAAGTAAATTTCTCATATAAATCGAAATGAAAGTCATACTGTCTACATCAAGGGTTTAAAAACTACGGCCCACGGGCCACATCCAGCCCGTGAAAGAATTGTGCAGAAATGTGCCAGTTGAACTAATTTTCCAATGAGTTAACAATCAAGTTCCTTCCGTCAAATGTGACACTTTTTTAAGTTTTCCTCCTCGTCAGCACCTGCCTTACATGTTTCGGCTCACCACGGAGCCATCATCAGAGGCATTTATAGTAGAAAAAGAAATCACCAACACACAAAACTTCACTTTGTCCAAGATAGCCACTTTCCAGTTAATTAAAATAATTACAAATAGTTAAAATTACCCAGAATGTCGATTCACTAAAAGTTTTTCACACACCACAGTAGCTTCCTTATTTGATTCGTCGTTAATTCTGTAAAATTATGTTTCGTTATTTGAAGTAAGAATTCTTAAAATCCCTAGAATTCTTTCCCGCTTGGCCCAATCTTTTTGCTTCGGGATGTTGTTGGCGTGTGTTGTCTGTCGGTAGTTGATGTTGCTTGTCTGTGTGTTGTGATGCTCACACAAGCATCACAACACAACAAATTTAACTGACGAACATTTAAAGTCGCTACTTGTGATTAGCGTTTCAAAATTTGAACCTCAATTTAATCAGATTTTAAGAATGCAAAAAGAGTTCCATCATTCACATTAATTGTTTTATTATAATTTGTGATGAAAATATGAGCATTTGCTGCTACTGTCTGTTGTCATTAATATACGATAATTTATTCTCACGTACTTTGTATTTAGTTTATGAAATTCTGTGCTTTCAATAAAACTTGTATACCTAGAGTTATTAATTTCTCATTTTATCCAGCCCGTTGAGAGTGCTGAATTACCTAATGTGACCCGCGTTTGGAGACCCCTGGTCTACATGTATATTTTCCAAATGTGCCCATACCCTTCTGTAACAAATTTACAAGATACAAATCTGTGGATTCTTTTAAATAACAGAATAGTTTCATGTGTGCTCAGGATGATGATTTAATTCCAAATGAGACTTGCTGTTGGCAAGAGATGATTATTCTTAGCATTTGCATTGTGGGCTCCTATTTTATTCTAGGGATGAAGAAGGTTAACAAATACACAACTAAACAGTAATGTCTGACTAGTCTGCTGCTTCACCATAAAATGTTTCCCAATTGAATGAATACCTCATCTTTCGTGTCAAGTGCTTTAGTATACTTCCCTAATTATCTCAGATGAGAGAGTGGGAAATCACAGTTAATTTGTGGAATTTTTACAAAGATACTAACAGATAAATAGACTGCACTCAACTCAAGAATGCATGCATGGGTAGAAATAAATAGGAATTTTGTGGAGAGGACTGAAGACTGTGTTTATAACTTTCTGACTAGTTCTGACCTGGGTCACTGCTTACAGTGGAAGGAGTAGGGGGCAACTCCAAACGACGGCGGATTCTCTGGGCACGTTCCGTAAATGCACGCACCAAGTGGCGAATTCTCTGACGGATGAACAGTTGACCATCAGCTTGAAGGCTACAGGAACACAAAATTATCGAACCAATTAACTCATTCACATGCTTTAAGGTAAAGCGATGGAACTCCATTATATTACATTATATGTATGCTTTAATTTTTTATGATTTCTTAACTCAAATATTATCATGGAACATCTCCCCGTACTATGCAGTGAGTATCAGGGGCAATTTCCCCAGGGTAGAGCGACTGGGGCGTGAAACTGACCACTCACCTCCATCTAATGCCGAGTTCAAGAATGGTGGTGCTCTACCTCCACTTCCCCATACGTCTTTATGGCCTTAAATAAGGGCAGGGACAGATTTACTTGTACCTTTACACTTACCTGACATACTGTAGTAGCTGTGGGACCTCAGCCCATTAAGTAGACATTTGCTACTTTAATTCTTGTGAAACTTCGATGGATTACGTCAGAAGTGTTCGCTTATTGGACAGCAGATATTTATGTGAGATCTGAGGTAATAATGGCAGGGATTATGAATGTTACTCCCTTCTGGGATGTGATGCCATGCAGTCTGGTAGATATTTATCAACATTTCAGAGGGATCCCTTGTTTTTCATCTTCAGTGTAGAAGAGTCTTCTGCCTGAAGTTATAGGAGGCTTTCAGAAACAGTGATAAATGTCTACAGTATTATACATCCCAGAAGACTCTAATTTTATTACACATTTACCTGCAGTTAAGTATTGTGATAATTCTGAGGCATCTATTTTGATGTTATGTACGAATTTTACTAAGCAAAATTACATAGTATGTCAATGCGTTAATAGCTCACGAGGCTCAGGAAAAATCACGTGTGTGTACCTCATCATTAGGGGCTGGATTTATATGCTCTAATAATCCCTTATATATGTATGCATTTATGCATGAAAACTTCCAAAAATGCACATAAAAAGTTAATACCAAATATTAAAATTGATTTTGCGTTATTAGAAGACCAAGAAAATTAACATCTAAGTTAATTTTATGTACTTACTGGATGATTCACTTGTAATGAAAGGCTGTACTTAAATACAAATCATGCAACAAAGCTGACATGTTTTCATTATAATTAAAAAAAACAATGGTACTCACATTTAGCTCTCCAAGCTTTCAACTTCTCTTCTGTTGCAGTTCACAATTACTACTTAAATGTTTTAGGTTTTTTATAATTAGTCGTCTCCTGTTGTCTCGTAAGATGTCCTTATAGTGGGATAAACTTCTTTCCGCCTCACAGGAATTTAAGGGCACATGTACAAAAGTCGCTATTTGCTCCACTGCAAGTGATTTTTTACTTGGCAGTTCAATATGTTTACTGGCTAGAATTTCTTCGATTCCACAAATTTGTTCATATCCTGCATTTTTTTAAAGAATGCTGTGTACTTTTCCTTTACTACTTCACCAACTCTTCTAAGAACCGAATTCAATTAGGCAACAGTGGTTTTGAATACAATTAGCGATTGGTACACAGCAGCAGTATTGCTATTGCATGCCTCCAGTAAGGATATGGCGGATGGAAGATGAGAGAAGTGAGTAGATATATAGGAAAGATTAGTTTCTAGTTCTGCGGTTTTTAGTACATCTTGAGCAATTTAAATTGATGCTGCACTTTTCAGATCAAGTGTATTCACGACATTCCTGTTTCTAAATGTTCAGTATAATAATTCGCTGCACACAGCCACGTGCTCCAGTGGAAGTGGAACATTCGGTACTACTGCTCTAAAGACTTTTTTCTATATGGGGCTTTAACAAATGCCTTCTTCACAGGAGACACCAACTTGTCAACAAGTTGACAATTTGCATGAATTCTTTATGCAACACCATGCAACCCATGGGCAAGGAAAGGCAATTTTGTGTCATATTTGTCATATATGCACCATCAAACCATGTCTAAAACTTAAGAAATGAAGTGATTCATGCATATATTCAAATGAGCATATTTTGTGGTTGTAAGAAAGAAATATGCATTGGCATTAAAATCATCTACTCATTACATTACATTACATTAAAATCTACTCATTGTAGACGGAACTTCCTAAAGTGCCCAATGCAAAAATGAAATTGTCAGAATATCAACATGCAACTGAAGTCAGAATTCTCTTCAGAGTGTGTCATTTCTTTTCTCTGACTCAAGCTCAGCCAGGAACAAGTGGATTTTTATGTATGCCTCTCCTTTCCTTCACACCTAATACATATCGTAGTATCTTCATAGCAACTGTAGACGGTATAAGATTTTGAACCAGTTAATTAGACACTTCAAGCGTTCTCCTATCTGGTGTGTATAAACATAAATTACACCAAAGGATATTTCTATAAAATCATACTAACAAGTTCTGAAATGGAAAGTCCACACTTACATGCAGCTGTTTTCATCACTACTGCTTCTGTAGATGTTGGTGCTGATGGTGGACTGTCTGTCAGCATTGCCTTGTTCCAGGTCATCCAGAGACCTCACAGAAAGAAGCATAGGAATGCCCAGAATTGTCGTCTCAACTGACTGAAGGCCGGAGATTTCTGCACCAACAATACATGCAGATACATGACGGCTGTATGAACTACGTGTATTATTGTCAGTATTAAAATACATATGTATAAGTCCGTTCAAGCAGAAACCCATACAATTTCCGTTGACTTCACATCAACCATTCCCCTTTGCAGCCATTTCATTTCACTCTTCCAAATTGATCAATTTCCATAAGGTTATGGCACACCAATTAAATATTCATTTTTTGTTTCTCTGAGTGTAAATCTCTGAAGTTTATTTTTCCACTCACAGCTTACATCATATTGTTTGATCTGGTGAATTTCTCTATCATTCTTACACTCACTTTAATTTATGCTTTCCTGACAAGGCGAGTGACAGCCACTAAACGTTAACTATGAACAGTCTGGCAGAATAACTGTCAAGTATCTCAATAATTATAGTAGTGATTTTTTAACACAGACAATGAGAGCAGTTTTAAATTTAATAATATGTCATGAAATCATGTCTATCATGATTTCTTCTTAAACTGTATTTTCATATTTCACTTTTCTTACCATGCATTTAAGATCTCATTCTGTTTCAAGTACTTCTCTATACCGTTAGGTAGTGATATTCTTATACCATAAGAATAACAGGCATACCATTTGATTTTGTTGCTTTGTATATCCAGAAGGAGAACTATATACCGCCTGTTCACTCATCCATTCATTTATTGTACCTGTGGGCCGCCGCTGTTGCCTTGTTTCTTGCAAGTCACAGAGCTGGGATTCATTGCACCAGGACCCAGCAGGCGGCTGTCTATTTATTTTGATGAGACTGTCCAGTTCCAAGCGCTCTGGGTACACCATCCGCTGCAACATGCAAGAAGTGGCACATATGCAGGTTTCTCCGACAGTTCTGAAAAACCAGGGCATGTGGTAGCATAGTTGGTTGAGGCACAATGCTGAAAGCCGGAAGGTCGCGGGTTCGAGTCCTGATGAGGTGGATTTTTTTCAGTTGACCTAATCCTTCCAGCAGCACTATGGCCCTGGGGCCGACTCAGCCTCAGAAATGAGCATCAGGGATCTTCCTGGGGGTAAAGAGCAATTGGTGCGTACGGCTGACAACCTTACCGCCATCTGTGAGTCGACTGTCTGGATAATGTGGGAGCCTCAACATCTCACAACCCTATGGGGCTCCATGGCCTGTTACAGGGATAGATTTCTTTAAGGGCTCTGAAGTACAGGAATGGCTGTGTCTATAGGCAGACAGAGCCCCATTCTGGGCCGTTTCAGATTTGTCCCCGAAATGTTAACCCCAGGTTTGAATCGTCACTACCCACACACACACACACACACACATGGGCTTAGAACCGTTTAGAACTTTGGTGGTTTCCAGTAGAGGGCTACGTATTCTTTTCATGGAATATGCATAATTATAATTTTCCCTTTGACGCAGTTAGCTTTTAAACCAACTGGAACGTTTTTCGATATATTCATTAAATACAGATCTGTTATTAGTGTGCAACACGGTACTAAGAAAATACTGTCTTTTTTTGTTAATCGAATGTGTATATCTTCCATGCAGATAGGAAAACAGAGGTAAAATTAGTTACAATAGGATTCTATTAGGTTCTAAATTAGATAGACGTGATTTTCTCCATTGTTGACGCCAGTTAGACACTATTAGTTTTTTACTAGTTCTCCTTTCTATTCCATGCCGTGGGGTCATGGACCTGGTTATTAGTTTGGTTTCGTGACATAAATTTCTACGGCTCTATCTCTCCTGGTTCCACGCTTGTATGTGTTTGGAACAATTTGTAATGTATATTTTTCTTATTAGCTCACATGGACCTAGCCTGGTCTCAGGTATTTATAACCTTTGTGTTTTAATAACTATCCTGTCTATTGATTGATGCTAGCTCTCTCAAATAGACCCAAGAGAATGGGTGTTTTCCCTCAACTGGGGACGGAAACATCCTGTTTTTGGTTTTTCATCACGTGAGGCCGGAATGTATCCAGTTTCTGACACGTGCTTTTTGGAGTTTAGTCATGTTTCTCGTTGTCGAGAGACTGAGGCTAGCTAGCTTGAGAACGGAACCACATCCATTTTCCGAAACTTTTTTTTTTATCTATCTTTGGTCCCCGACAAGCCCGTCTTTCTTTCATAAATGCGGTATTTTAAGGGTAGAAGTAGAAGAAATGCTATGAAGACACAGGGGGATGTGGAGGTACAGCTCCATCATTCTTGACCTAGACACTAAATGGAGGTGAACGGTGAGCTTCACGCCCCTGTTGTTTTACCCCCGGTACCCATTGGGTAGGAGACTCATTTTTAATCATAGGAAACTAAACGGTGGTCTTCAACTCTGAGTCCTTCTGTACGCTCTTAGCAGACGGCTGGTTTGATTTGTCGCAGATTTAAGCACGAAGGTCTCTGCTACGGTACAGGTCCGCCTAGCTTCTTAACGTTCTTAACGACCTGTCAGTCGCCCTGTTCCACAAGGAAGTGTTTCCCCGTTATGTTTCATTATACAGTCATTTTCATGAAACACAATGCGGTATTATTTTGGTATTTTACTGGATGTTTGAGTACATTTGGTTTGGCATTTGATGTAATCTGATAAATATGGTATGAATTTATGTGGTTTAAAATGATGCAAGATTTGAATTCCTGTAAAAAGCTATCTCTTTAACAAGCCGTGAAGGCCTGTCGAGGCTCCTACATTTTTTCTAGATAGTCAGCTCACAGATGGTAAAGTTGTCAGCCTTAACGCGCCGGCCGCCCTTTACTCTCCAGGAAGATTCCTGGTACTCATTTCTGTTAGAGGCTGAGTCGACCCCAGGACCACAGTGCGGCTGGAAGGATTAGGAAAATTGAAAAGGAAATCCACCTCATCGGGCCTCGAACCCGCAACCTTCCGGCTTGTAGCATAGTGCCTCAACCCCGTGCCCCTTTGAAATCCTTTAATATATTAAATTTGTTATGGTATGTGATATGATTCCAAACCACCAGTAGTAAAGCCCGCCACAATCTTGAGCCAGTTCGACCCACTTAATATCCCCAGAACTTAAACTCTACAATACCTTCTTCAGTGTTACTCTTTCTCCGTGTTGATCTAAGTGAGTCTTCCCCAAGAGGGTCCTCCACCAAAATTCTGTACCCATTTCTTATCCTCCCAACATACCCAGGTGTCCTGCCTGTTGTAACTTCCTAATATTACTAAGGTCCTCGTAACATTAAATTACTTACTTGATCATTTTTTGTCCAAATTTGATAGAATTCATTTTGTCGATGTGTTTTGTGTACTAAAATAAAATACTAAATAACCATTACATATACATAATTTATGTTGTATTCGTCACATATTTTTATGTCCCCTACACATTGTGTTGATAAGATGACCACCCTCCTCAGGGGGCGATAAAATATTAAATAAATATACTACATATAAAATACAAGATTTCAAATTTCTAACCCCTACGAATTTTAAAAAGTTAGAATAATGTTGTATTAGAACATACTGATATGAACAGTTGTCGATTGTGGTTTTTCTATAGTGTCGTAATGGTGCTTCCTACGAGGCAAATATGTCTCCTAGGAACATAAGAAAGTACAAAGCAGAGAAGACTGCATTAAACAGTCATTCAAACCAACGTATTTCAATATATTATTTCAATTATTTAGAAATCTGGAGCTAGGATAGTTCAGTCGGTACAGCGACTTACTAAGGGCTGGAAGGCCGGGGTTCGGCTCCCGAGAAGGCAATTTTTTCCTCTTTCCATAGTGTCCAGGCCGACTGAGCGGCTCTCCCAACTTCCTATCCAATGGGTTCGGGGTGCCTTTCCCCAGGAGTAAAGCGGCAGGAGCTTGAAGCTAACTGCTCACCTTCCTCTCTTGCAGAGGTCAAGAATGTTGGAGCTGTACTTCCACTCCCCTATACGTCGTCATGGTGTAGTGCTTAATTAATTAAGCACAGATACAACTTTACCTTATAATTTTTTAACTTATTTAAGAAATCTTATGTCTTAGGCATCATAAATCATATCTTTTCCTATAGACTGCAAAGCTTTCTTAATATTTGATCTCTGCTATAGGGTGGACTTCTTATGGCAGACAGATTGGGGACACAGAATTTGATGAGTGAATGGAAGTAAATTAGATGTATTTTGATGGCCATTTCACATTTTGTTTTAAATCCTAGTACGTGTATTTTCTTGGGAACGTCATTTTTAAACACCTGTAATTTATTCTTTTTCACAGTAACAGATCATGTTTCATAATGACAGTCGTATTTAGTAAGAAGGGTCAAGACATGAAGACGACTGGAAGCATGCATCAATATGGTTTTCACCCTGACTGTTCAGTTACAATGATATGGAGGTCTGAAACAAAGACTGGAACCTCGAAGGACGATACATTACAGGCTGGGATGGCATCGCTGCCCTTCCCTGTAGGAAGTAAACATAATTTGATGAACTTGATGAGAAATTAACGCTAAAACCGGAAGTTTATTGGCGGAAGTGGGAGTTCAAGGGACACGCTCTCGAATACACAACAAAGGCAGGTACACAGAGACGACGCAACACATGTAAGAGAAACGTCAGGGAGGACACTACCGGGTGTGCAGGCGGAGCCCCATGGCACTGATGCCCCTTCGGGACGACGGGCTCACCGTAAGTAAGACAGGACGAACTGAAGAAGACCCACCTCCAGCCTGTAGACAGTCGCTATACCGACTGCACCATGCCGGTTCCTGTAGATAGCAATGAAGAAGTGGAATGTTCAAGTTGCAGTGCTGGAGTGCATAAGAGGAAGAAACAGTGACGATTTTGTTGACAAAGGCAAATATGAGTTTGGACTACAGAAGCCGTCTTTTGCAGTTGATCTAAATGGAGCTGCAACAGAGTCAGATGCGGGTACACAGTGATAACTTCTGACAGGAGACATTTTCCTGTAGCTATCTAAAGCACTTACTTAAAAAGATTAATATGTCAGAGGTAAAGGACGCCCAATCGGTCACATTAGCCGCGCGGCCTAAGGCATGAACTGTCTTTGCTCGCGCGGACGCCGGGATCTTGGGTTCGAATCCCACTCAAGGCATGGATGTTTCGTGTATGTATGCGTTTATTCTGTGTTTGTGTTGTGCTTTGTTTAGGTAGCCGCCTTGCGACTGGCTGATCACTCGTCCAAGAGTTCTACCATCTGTGAAAAATGATTACGGAACTGAATAAGAGGCCAGGGCCCTGAATGGGCTGGAAGAGTCATTGAAGAAGAAGAAGAAATGAACGTTATCTCCAGGGCTGTAGATCAGGGCTGACGACCCTCAGAAACTCCTGGTTTGGTGCGGCCTGTTACAGGACTCCCCATGGAGAGATATTGTTTATTGTAGACCTTGGCGGAATTTTGTCGGCTCTCATTGTCATTTAATGATCCTTGGAGCAAGAGAAGAGACTGGAGACAAGAATTATGTGAGAAGCGGCACAGGGCAAAAACGATTATGTGGACTACTAGTAACANTTCCCACCCCCTCACCTGATGGCAGAAACAGATCCAGTTTCCTAAACGTTTTGTTCCTTAGTCCTCCTAGAATACCGGACGATGGACAAAGTCCAAAAGCCCTGTAATTGCGACAGCTAAAAGTTATTTTATATTACCAGAACTCATCTCCACAAAATCAGTTTTAATGTTGCCTTATCACCTTATTCAGTGTCTTCTCACGGTTTTGCATTTGCTTCTAGCACCGCGCGTGTATAACCTGACTCATCAGCGTTAGCAACCCCAAGGGAGGGCCTAAGCAACAAGAATACCGGACGTATACTGCCCTCTGTTTCCCACTTAGTTACTCCCTTAATGCCTTCGGAATATTTCCCTTAGTTTGAAACACTTGTCATGTCGTCACAAAATCCGAGTTTGTGGAGCTGTTCTTTTGTATTGTGTCGCGACAGATCGCAGGCCCGGAGGCTTGATTATCGCTGTTGTTTATTCATGTCACTTCACAGACATGAGATGGGCTCGTCAAGTAGGCACATTCATCACATACTGCGTTGCGTCACTAACAGCTTGTCCTCTATATCTGAAGACCTGGATCTCATGAACTAGTTTTATATGCGGTCGAGAACTCGCAGAAACTCGGCGGTTCGTGCGAACTCGAGGTTACGGTTGCAGGCAGTAGTCCGCGCAGGTGGGAAACAGGAGAAACTGTCATGGGACTTAGAGTTTTGTTCTAACGAAATTACAATAATATTCATAGAACTTCTTTATTCACATAAAATATAAATATGTCTGGTCGAAGTGAAAAGTAAAGAGGGACGCTTAAATTTTGTTCAAACGCACAGAGTTGGAGTTCTGCAAGGAAACTGCTTTAGGAGCGCCTGACACCACAACAAAAAGAGGGAAGACTGCCCTAGAAACACGTACACAGAACTGTCTTTTCTTTACGAAACTGCAAAACCAGTTTAAATAACCGGGACATAGTCAATAATTACTAAGTTAATGGAGTAGCAGTTCAAGTGGAATAATATCTAGAGTATTTTATTCCTTTTTATTGGCTCTTCCAGCCCATTCAGGACCCAGACCGCTTATGCAGTTCCGTAATATGTTTTCGCAAACGGTAGGATTCCTTGGATTGGGGATCAGCCAGTTAAAAGGCCGCTGACCTACACACAAAAACAGAATAAACGCATATGCACACCAAACATCCTTGACCTGAGTGGGATTCGAACCCACGATTCCAGCGTTCGAGCGAGCGAAGACCCGCGGCTTCTGTGACCGACTGAGTATTACTGAGCCACATAAATAAGTTAGTTTGATCTTGTGAGTAGACTGAAGGGACAACAAAATGAAGGAATGTAACTAAATTGGTAACAACAGGTTCCGATTTGGCCGAACATGCTCAGTCAGAACAGAGGGAGACTTAGAGGAACTTGGACGGAAACTGGGGAAAAATTGTTTAGGATAGGACCGGGCATGTAATTACAAACAGAGGAACTTCTGCCTCTTTTAAAGCAAGAACAACTGCTGCTTGCCTGTACGTGTTAGAAATAGACTGATTAAGATTTAAAAATAAACATGAGAACAGGTGCGAAATTTTCAGTAAAACCCTTTATAAAAAGAACTTGGTATACCATCAAGATCGGTTGATTTCACTGGCCTCAATTATAGTATTAACTGCAATTTCATAACAATCCACTGCAGCATAAGGTAGAGAGCTTTCTCTGGACACGTTTTAACTGACGAGTGGTCAGCCCGTAGCAAGACCGTTACCTAAACACAGGACAACACAAACACAGAATAGACGCACACCAAATATTCATGCCCTGAGTGGAATTCGAACCCACAACCCCAACGTCCAAGCGAGCTGAGACAATTATGCCTCTTTTTTTTAATTCACTTAGTGGGGGGTGGAGTCCAGCTGGGTCCACTCGGCACGGCGGCCGCTTATTGGCCTATTGTAGCCTGCCCCGGGTGATTATGATGATTGAGAATTTGGTGGAATAAAGATTGGTAGGGGAAACCGAAGTACTCGGAGAAAACCCGCCCCAGTGCCACTTTGTCCACCATAAATCCCAGTTGACCAGACCCGGGATCGAATCCGGGCCGCCGCGGTGGGAAGCCAGCGACTAACCGCTTGAGCTATGGCTCGGGCTCAATTTATGCCTTAGACCGCGCGGCTACTGTGACCGGCTCATAAGCCTTAAAATAAGAATGGACGGACAGACATGGGCAGATACAAAGACAGACGGACAGTACAGCGATCCCAGAAGTCCCCTTTCATTTTTTCAAAATAATGAAAGTTGGTTAATAATAACAATAACGACGATAACAATAGCAATAATCGAAAGCAAACTTGAAAATTTAAAAAAACTTTCCCTCACCGTGGAGCAGATTAACTACAGAAATGGTTCTTATTAATCTGATGTAATAATTACACGTTTAAACTTCATTACCTCAGCAGTCGACTTGGTTGCCATTGTCAGACTGAGGGCAAGCACAACCACACCGCACGCCCGCCACACGTACAACTGTTGCACGGTAACCCTGCCTCCTTTACTTTGCATGTACAGTTCCACTTAATCAAGCTAATGGTCCATATGTGAGCCCAGCGCACCTCCCCGCCTAACATACCGATCACCACAGCTTTACACAGATTTTAACAAGCACGATCGAATTATCAGAAGGAAGAAATTAATATTATGCAGATTGGATAAGCCGTCTTAAGAACACAGAAGCATTCCCATATGCGATTACCTTTTTCATTAAACAGATCCTATCCATTGCGTGCCCCTGGCTTTCTTCTTTGGACCACTCCTCTGCGGGTTTGCCTACACGCGAGGCGGAGTGATACTCCGCTCCGTTACTATGGCAACTGCATCGACGCACGATGACGAAGCTCCGTGCGGTCGATGTGGTACTTGCCGCATACCTCCGTTCAGACAAAACAGAGACCACGTCAGCTTGCAAAAGCTTTGAGAAGCGGTCAAAGTTACGGAACCAATTCTTGTTCACTCTGTACACTCAACTAACTCCACGAAGCAGAGTCGACCTTATATTCATCTGTGGTTTAATTATGGACCGTGTCAGTAGCTAACATTGGAAATAATAAGAAAGTAAGCGCTGGAGGCGTAGATTGAGGTACAATCCTGACATTTTCCTGCATCAAAGTTGGTATTCGGATCGATGTTTGAGCACGGAATATCCTAAAGATGAAGCCTCACTGGTACCAACTCAACCGGAACGTTCGAACTCAGTTGGCCGAATCATTCCCCACAACACTGTACTCAGAAGAACGCAGAAAAGTTGGTAGCACTTAGCCACACTGCCAACAGAATTCTGAAAATTATGGGGGTTAGAACTTACAAGTGAGAAACTTACTCTCTAGGAGAACATGACCTAAAACCCTGTCATGGTTCTTCGATAAATGTTTCCTACAAAGTCGCTGTGAATAAGAGTAAGTGATTGTACTCCGAAAATGGAAAGAGGAAGTGAATGTAAAGATTTTTGTTTCCTGCGAATTAACATCCTTTGAAAGAAGTCCAACAGATATGCATTCATTGTTGTTAACAATGTGATGTGCGGCGATTCTTAAAGGAACACTTCAATGTGGTTACAGAAGACAAGACTGAGTGTACGCTGGTAGAACTGAAGTTACAGTTATACCCAATTAAGTAATTCCACGGAGAACACTTTTTTCTGGGAAACCAACAGTCGTCCACCCAATCAGGGAATTATACCCAGAGGTTCATCACTGTGTCCACAACGACCCGCCACCGGAGTCTGTCCCGAACCAACGGAGTTCATTCCCCACGTTCACACCTACTTGAATGTATGAGGGGTGGCCATTCTTGGCCCTTGCACCGCGACTACAGCGATCTGTTGTGCCTTCCACACCCAATTACTTAGAACCCATTTGAATCTTATCTTCCCGCCCCCGTTCTCATTTATCCCGTGGGTGAGTGGGGACACAGGGGCTGTAGAAACATTTTTAGGGACAGGACAGAAAAACGAAACCCACTGACAAGTGCAAAGGACCTACAACTTTTCTTCCTATAGCATATTTTCTTTTAATTTTCAAGATGTACTAGTTACTGCAAGGAAATAAAAAGTGTCCAAGTTCCAACAAAGGGCTTTAGAGCCATAAATGGAAACTGTTGCTGCAGTATATTTAATAATTCGACACAACACATAAATAATAAAAATAAGAGTACTTTTACATGAACTTGTCAACATTTTTAAGATATTTTCAGATTGATCAACATAGCAGATTAATCGAAACTCGTAGAACGGAAATGATCACTTACTGTTTGAACTCGTTTATAGTTTGAAATGATTTTATTGAGTCGAATTATTTGGTTTCATATTTTACGAAATTTCCAAAAGATTGCCACTACCTACTCCACTGCACCTGGCCGCGCCATAGCTCAAGTGGTTAGTCGCTGGCTTCCCACCGCGGCGGCCCGGGTTCGATCCTGTGTCTGGTCAAGTGGGATTTGTGGTGCACAAAGTGGCGCTGGGGCAGGTTTTCTCCGAGTACTTCTGTTTCCCCTGCCAATCTTCATTCCACCAATTGCTCCACAATCACCCTCGCCTCTCATCTGGGGCTGGTACAATAGGCCAGAAGTGGCCGTAGTACAAGGGACTTAGTCCCACCCCACTAGCTTTAAAAAAATGACTCCATTGCACGGTACCTTAACCAAGTGACCACGTTCGCTACTGCGAGAACTCCAAATCTCAGGCGGATGATAAGGTATTCATGAATGATAAGTCGATATATGTGGGGGGGGGGATGAGTTGAGGGACCGAAGAGAACCATAAATACTCTGTTACGGTCTCTCCAGCGAACAACTCCGATATGTATCGCTGTTGACTACTGTTTCGGTGACTCGAAGTCGGTGGTAAGTGGTTGCGTTAGTGCCGACGGCACTGCATAGTGCCAGCTGAACGTCAAGAACTGCATAACGCTGTCATAATTAATGAAAAAGTAGGCCCACTATTCAAAATAATTAAAGCTCTTCAGCTCGGTGTTCTGACCGGAAGAAATTGTAGCTACATATCAACTGTGTATAGACCACTGGCGGCCAGTTGTCTCCTCAATCATGCTTTTAAGTTTATGACAGTGGTTTATGAAACGCCTGTTTATAGTGAAAATAGAACAAGAATGACTTCAAAGAAAACTCATGTTACCTTTGCAATGTTGTCGATTAACCATCCGCTTCCAATAGCCTCCAATCTTTTCTATTAAAGATGTGTTTTCTGTATTGCGCGTACGCCAATTTCCGCTAATCAGAACGTTCGTGATTGGCAGGCCCAAACCAATCAGCAGTGCACTTCTATGAATGTTTGGAGTTGAGCTGGCTTGCTTTTCGTTGCTTGATGGTTCATCAGTTTCTTAAAAAGGAGAGGAAGTTTGAAGCCTCACTTGCTTTGCTGTGCTCCATTTATTCTTTACTTAACCATGTTTCTATTATTATTAATAATTGAATATGGTATTTTAAATTTTATGTATTAAAATTGCTGATTTAGATATTAACTATGTTCTTAGGGTGAAAAATTAACTTATGATCGTCCTGGAACGAATTAAGCGTTTCCTACATCCGACCAACGACAATTTCAAATAACGGCAGTTTTCGTCGAAGAAGTAGGTATATATCGTCATATTATTGTATTTAAGCATCCTGTTGCATTGATGTATTTGTTTGTATATAAGACAACAAAAAGTTACATTTGGTAGGGAGATGTCAGTACACAAAGAAATACTTCGCCAACCAAGACACCGCTGTACTGGCCTCGTAAACGTGCTTCTCGACCACTTTCGCGACTATGGCCTCTTCTTAGAGATATAAAAGATCGCTTTAGATGAGAGCCACTAAAGCGCATTTTTACAGCCCTTCATAGCTGGATTCCTCTCGTGGCATTTCAGCTGGCCATATCTACCATGAAACATTGTTCAGTCTTCAGCACATATTCAGTTTAGTTCGTTGCTTATGACTCTCCCATTGTGAGTGAAACATGAAGGAGTATTTACATATATGTTTTATGGTTATAGAAACTGTATCAGACCCAATATAACGGTATAGTAAATGAACCTAAGTTCGTAAAAAGACAATTTACATAAATAATGGCTGGATTTGGTTGCATGGAATTAAGGTTTTAGACAAGAAATACATTGAGGTGAGTTGGGTCGCAAAGAAGTGACGTACTATAATGGTTCAATTTCATTAGATTCAAAGAATATTTATGTACTCGTAATAACATAGAGTCACTGGATGCATTCAGAAGCTCGGCACAGAGAATAGATTTAAATCCCTGTTACAGTAACGAACCGTTTCCTCTGCTTTTCACAGACGTTACGATATATATGTATGTGTACTCACGCGTCTCCCTGTGAGAAGCTTGGTCGTGGCGGCGGGTGGTAGCATCAGACCGTCTAACCGTCCTGACTCCAGCATTGTACTGCGTGCTTGTCGCTCACAATAGCTCATTGTCCCTCGAGCAAGCGCGAGAACTATAATCTTAATGGCCTTCACTTGCTAGGAACCCCTCAGCTGAATATTAAGTACCGTTAATTACCCACTGTCTTATTACTGTTCGAGAAATTACTGACATAACGAGACGTGCCACGACGCCATTTTATTCTCGGAGAGTGCGAAGTTTGCGTAACTGTAGTCACACAACGACTTATAGACTCTGATGGAATTGTACACCCACTGGTAGCGCCGATAAGAGGTGATAGGACGAAAGGTCATTAAAAAAAGATGTCTGGGATGTCGTATCCTTGCCTTGGGATTTGCGGCAGATACCGACGTTTCGAAAGTGCAGCGCTTAGAAATCAAGGGTCTCCGCAACAGCACCAATATCCCAAGGCGTAGAGCGGTCAGCAACCAGAAGCGACAGAAGATCGTGAAAATGCAAATGTTCGGAATACAGGATAAGGCGAAGCCCGACAGAACACGAGACTTAAATTTTGCGGCGGCGAAGCTTATGATCGTTGAGGTGACTAATTGCCGGTCTAGCGTGAGCTAATGAAAATTAGGCATAATCTGTTGTGGACTGACAGCGGGCTTATTATATATATTGCCAATAAAGCCACGTGCAGTATATATGTATAGTTGTAGAGGTCGTGACATGTAGTTTAGAGGAAGGACATAATATAAAAAGTAACTGACTGTGACAAGTGAGAAGGGATAGACCCGTCTTGTCATTAAAGGCCAAACAGTGAAGTTTCTTGAAGACTAAGATCCGGTCAAGAGCGTCTGAATGGGCTCTAAATTAAGAGAAAGTGACTGGCCAACCGTCAGTGGGAAAATGACTTTGAAACGAAGCAAGCAGTAAAGAGGAATTTTGTAAAGGTAGACACGAAGCGGTAGGATATGTGGAAGACGAAGGCGAATCGTTGTCATAACCATGGCGGTCCTTTGGTAAGGCACTGGCGTATGGTTTAGAGCAGTGTTCCGCAACCGGTGTACCGTCACAAGGTGAAAGGTGTGACGCGAACTTTTACCTATTGTAAGAAATTAATTGTCGAATTTTATTCGTTTTATTTTATCCCTGTTAAAGTGTTTCATATGCTTGTATTTTATTCTCAGCCACTGCACTGATTAAATAAGATGATGCTTGTTTATTTTTTATTACATGCTGTGATTTTTTATGTACAGTAATGTATTCTAAGAAATTAAACGTAAATTATTTACTCACAGTTGTTGTTATATCATAGTATTATTATTGATTTATTTTTATTNGACTTTCTTCCTGTAACGATGCACCCACCGATCGTTGGACTTCATTTACAATTATAAATATTTCAAAAGTAAGTTTGTATAGTGTCACTTCTTTCTTTTGAAGAGTAGAGATGCCGCGTTTTACAATTGTTTCAGTTCTATCACAGCTGTGCTCTGAAGTAGTTCGCAAATTTTGGTTGCTAGTTAGAGAATTACAGATGGGTCGTTTGAGATG